GGGGAGGAGCAATTGCACAGCGGGGAGGGCATTTGTCTGGTACCCGGCCGACCCAAGTTCGATCCCCGGCACTCCATAGGGTCCCCTGAGCACCGCCAGGAGTAATTCCTGATGCAGAGCCAGGAGTCATGCCTGAGCACTGCCAGGTGTGACCCAAAAGAGGGGAAAAAAAAAAAAAGAAAAGAAAAAGGGTGGACTCTATAGCCAGACCCCAGACCTGAATTCCAGGGGCTCAGGCCATGTGAACTGGGGTTCCCTGTGCCTCTGGGTCCCTGGTGGGAAGAAGGAAAGACAGTGTGACCCCTGGAGCCCTCGGGGTGACGGATGCTCTACAGGAGGCCGCCGGACCCCTGTGGTGGGTGAGCATGTTACCATCCACTGCCGTTGCATTCACCAAATAATCCTGCTGCAAATACAACTGCCGTTTTCAAAAAACACTTAGCCACATAAATAAGCTAACTTCTGTATAAAAAGGGTCCCGGGACTGTACCTCACAGTCACTCACTAAAATATATACAAAAAATAAAAAATCTGACATTCAAGAGAAAAAGGGGGGGGGGGTGTCCCAGGGGCCAGAGTAGATAGTACAGCAGGTAGGGTGCTTGACTTACACCTGGCCGAACCCAGTTCAATTCCCAGCACCCCATAGGGTCCCCTGAGCCCCGCCAGGAATGATTCCTGAAAGCAGAGCCAGGAGGAACCCCTGTGCACTGCCAGGCGTGGTCCAAAATAAGCAACAAAAATAATCATTTTTAGTTTAAAAAATAAATGAATAGGGGCTGGAGTGATAGCACAGTGGGGAGAGCTTTTGCCTTGCACACGGCCGACCCGGGTTCGATTCCCAGCATCCCATAGGATCCCATGAGAACTGCCAGGAGTGATTCCTGAGTGCAGAGCCAGGAGGAACCCCTGAGCATCGCCGGGTGGGACCCAAAAAGCAAAAATAAATAAATGAATAAATGAATAAAAAGGGCAGCAGGACTTCACAGCAGCTTCCCCCGTTCGCGGCACGTCCTTCCGTCCCTTTTTGCAAGTCCCTGTGACCTTATTCGAGCCGTGTCTGCTGCCCGCCGTGGCCACTGTTTCCTGCACAGCTTCCTGGCAGCTCAATCTCAAGGACCCCCTGCCAGTGGCCGGGTGGGGGCTTTCTGTTTTGAAGGCCGCCCCCAGCATTTCTCACGGGCCAGAAACGAGGACCCCCCCCCAGCATCTGTGCAGCAAAACGGGGGCCACAAGGGGACGCAGATCTCTGCTCAGGGTAGCGCTGTTCTCCTGCCACCCCAAAAAGCAGAACTGCCAAAAATAAACATACTCTGGGGCCTTCCTGCTGCACCCCGTGATGCTCAGCGGCCCCCACAGCTTGGTCAGGATGGCCTCTGGGTGCCCGGGAGTGACCAGTCTCTGCCCTCCCCTCAGCTGCCCTGTACAGCTGACCAGGCTGGCCTCTGGGTGCCCAGGAGTGACCAGTCTCTGTTCTCTACCAATGAGTCTTCTGGGGGTTGCTACTGTCCCCCACTGGGCACCCCAGGGCCTCTCCTCCCTCTCGCACCATCACAGGGTCCACGGGGGACCCCAAAGCCAGCCAGCCAGGAAGAAGCGTGTCCAGTCTCTCTGGGGCCCGTAACAGCCTCCGCTGGCCCCCAGCTGTCACTGCCCAAGTCCCCTCGCTGAGGACCCAGCTCTTGGCCAGCCTGAGCCTCGTCCAAGCTCCCCTGGGTGTCCCAAGGGTGGAGGGGGATGGTGGTCTCAGGTAGCCCCCCTGGAACCCAAGAGCACCTCCAGGACACCAGCAGACCCGGGCAGAGCAGCCTTCCGCTGGCCCGTCCTGCAAGACCGAGAAGTGGGGTCACAGAGGGAAGTGGCTGCAGGAAGCGAGCTGGGGTCCGCGGCCAGGGCTGAGCTCCAACAGGCGGCCCTGAGTCTCCAGACACCAAGGGGAGGTTGCAGAGGGCCCAAGCCAGTGGGCAGGCCCACCCCCTCGCTCCCTCCAACGGGGATCTCGGCCACAGCGACAGCACAGCAGGTAGGGCTCCTGCCTTGCACACGGACCGACCCAGGTTCAATCCCCGGCACCCCAGAAGGCCCCCGGAGCACCGCCAGGAGTAATCCCTGAGCACAGAGCCAGGAGTCAGCCCTGAGCATCACTGGGTGTGACCCCCCTCCAAACAACACAAATACAACAGGGACCACAACAGCCCTCGTGCCCGGGGTTCCAGGGGGAATCCAGACCATTCCCAAGGCACTGTGGCCATTGGCTCTGCTCTGGGGCTCGGGGCGCAGCCCACACCAGGACTCCAACGGCTGAGGTCAAAGGTCGGCACGTGCTTGCGAGCACCTGCTATCAGGGCATCTCCAGGAGTGGCCGCCCGGCTTTTCAGGGATGAACAGGGTCCCCAAGACAGGAGAAGGGGTGCTGGCATTCGAGAGTGGGGGTTGTCCTGGAGGGTCCACCGAGCTGCAGGTCCCAAACAAAACCAAAGTCTTGGCGGCTGGACCTCAGAGGGTCTAAAGAAGTTCACATGCTTGGCCCTGACCACCCTAAAGTGCGCTCAGGGCCAGGGAGACGGCCCCACGGGCTGGAGCACATGCTTTGCACGCAGGAGACCCCGGGTTCGATCCCAGTATCACATGGTCCCCCAGCATGGAACTGACCCATGAGCACTACCAAGGAAGCAATATCGAGCCCCACCGCCCCTCTCTGACAGCACCGTGAGGTGTGGCCCAAAAACATCAATCAAAGGGCTGACTCAGAGCTTGCTTCTGACAGACAGCCCTCCTTGGCCACCTGGGCTCTTCGGATGACGGAGTTCTAGAGCCCTAATTCCTGTCTTATTCAACCACCAGATAAGATAATGTTAGTTATCATACTAATCATAACTAATTCAAATGATCACGGTCACACTCGCCATCGTTACCCAGTTATATAACGCATCTGTCCCCTTTACTCCCTTTCAACTTTCCCCTACAGAGCAAAACTCCAGAGCCGTGTCCCATTTTACAGACAAGACAGTAAGGGCTGAAAGACTGAGTCACTTCCCTAAAGTCACAAGGCCCAGAGGTCGCCCCCTCCCGCCTCACAGCTCGGGGAAGCTTCAGCTCAGAGCCCTAGTCTCTGAGAGCTCTGGGCTTCATGGCCCTGGGCCATTTGGGGGTCACTTCTGCTGGGGGGGGGACCGACAAGAGAAGCCCTTCCTGCCTGGGGGGACTCCACGGTCTGCCCCTCTCTGTCCCTGGCCAGGACAGCCATAAGAAGCCTGCCCCCACCACACACACACACACACATACATACACACACACACACACACGTTCTACAGGAGGCAGAAGCAGTGGCTGTTGCATCCTAAGTGTCAGCAACCCCAGAGCACTGCTCACCAGAGGAACCTGCCCCTTCCACATCAGAGGGCGGATTCCAGCCCCTGCGGGATCCCGGCGGCTGGCCGTGGGCTCTGGGCTCAGCTGGGCATGAACACTTTCCAACCGCAGCTTGCGCGAGCTCTCTCTCTCTCTCTCTCTCTCTCTCTCTCCCCCCCCTTCTGCCCCCCCCCCCCTGCTCTGAAGCAACCCGCGGCCGGCCGGCCAAGGAGCAGGAGCAGGAAGGTCCACTCTCCTTCCATTAATCCAGGAGCGGGTTTGTCTTTCCTTTTGCACACCGAGAACCGAACCTGCCCCAAGTACCCAAGTACCAGGGTCTGCGCCAGCATCTTCAACTCAGAAACCGGCAGCTTCAGACTGAGCAAATTCTGGTGTGTGTGTGTGTGTGTGTGTGTGTGTGTGTGTGTGTAAATTCTGAGCATGTGTGTATAAATTCTGGGTGTGAGCATGTGAGAGCGTATGTATAAAATTCTGGGTGTGAGTGTGTGTGAGTGTGAGCGCGCGCGTGTGTGTAAATTCTGGGGGTGTGTGTGCGCACTTTATACAGGCTGAGATGAGAAGTTAGCCCTTTCTAGAAGGGTCCTCTAGCAGAAAGGTTTTCAATACCCCCCCTACCCTCCCCAGCGCGGGCACACACACACACATACACACACACACACACACACACACGGCTCTCTCCTCCTGACTCCGGAGCCTTGACCTCACACAACCATAGCAGCACCCCCAAGCCCCAGGGGTCCCAGTCGAAGGCCCCCTGGGGTCCCCAGAGATGCCCCCAGACTGACGCCCGCGGAACCCCGCTGCGCTGCGGGGTCCCTCGGCGCCCCCGGCCCGGCAGCCCCTCCCCAGGCCGGATTAGAGGACTTCCTCGTGCCCCGGAGGGAGTCAATGAGGTCCCGGCGGGAGGGCCGAGATTAAAGCCCTCCCGGGGGCCGCCGGCCCCTAACCCCCGGCGGGGCTGCGCCCCCTCCCCGCCCCCGGCCGGCCCCTTCCGCGCTCGCGGGCAGAGGGGGCAGCGCGAGCCCCCTCCCCGCCCGGGAAGGAGGAAGCGGCGGCGGCGGCGGCGTCCCGGGGCCGCTCCCCGCGCCCCGGCGGGGTGGCCCGGGCAGGTCGCGGCGCCTCCAGGAGGGCCTCGGGGCTCGGGGCTACGGCACGGGGGCGACCCCCGCTGCGGCGGGGACCCCCGATGAAGGTCGCTGGGACCCTTCTCCAGCCCGTCCCGGGCGCGGGCACCGGCTCCGGAGTTCCGTGCCCGGAGCCTGGCCCGGGGCTGTGCCGCGGGGGGCCGGGGCGCGCGGGACCCGGAGACCCCCACCCCCACCCCGGACCCCCCGCCCGGGGCGCGGGGTCCGCTCGGGCTCGCTCGGCGCCGGCGGGTGGGGGGACGAGGGAGGATTTTCCCGGGTTTCTCGGATCGCGGATCGCTCCGGGGTCCGGCCCCGAGGCGTGCGCGGGGGGCGCCGCGGGCAGCGCCCCGGGAGGGACGCGCCGCGACCGCGCGGGTGCAACTAATTTGCCAAGTATCCGGGCCGGCGGGCCTGGGGGAGACGGACCCCCGAGGGAGAAGGTCGGGGGGTCCCGCCCCCCGCCCCCCGCCCCCGCCGCGGCCACAGGTCGCCGGCGCTCACCGACTGCAGGAAGCGCAAGGTGCCCACGTAGTCGCGCTCGGTGCCCAGGATCTCGTTGAGGACGCACAGGCGGAGGCGCAGCTGCCGCTCCGACTCCCGGGCGGCCGCGCACGGGCCGGCGCCGCCGGGCGCCGCGCTGCCGGGGGCCCGCGCGTCGGGGTGGGCGCCGGCCCCGGCCCCGTCGCCGCCGGCCTCGCTGCCCGCGGGCTCCTCCATCCCGCCCCGCGTGGCGCCGCGGCTCAGGCGAGCGGGCGCCGCATCCCGGACGGGGCGCGCGGGCGGGCGGGCGGGCGGCGGGAGGGCCGGGGGGCCGGGCCGGGGCGGGGGCGGGCGCGGGGCCGGCCGAGGGGCGGGCGCGGGCGGCCGGGGCTCCCGGACGGCGCCCAGGGAGCGTCTGCCAAGTGCCACGCCGCGCCCGGGACGCACGGCCGCCGCGCCGCGCGCTCGCCGCGCCCCCGCCGAGACCCCCGCCCGCCGCCCCCGGGAGCCCCCGCCCGCCCGCGCGCCTCGGCCGCCGCCGCGCACGGGCACCCGCGCGGCCCGGGACGCGCGCCGGGAAGGGCAGCGGCCGCCGGACACCCGGCCCGGCGCGGCCGCGACCTTGGGGGGACCTGCGCCTCCCGCTCCTCGCCCCCTCGGCTTTCCCCCCCCCTCTCCTTCCTCCTCTCTCTCTCCCTCTTTTCTTCCTCCCTCTCTCCAGGCCCCCCTCTCCTTCCTCCTCTCTCCTTCCTCCCCTACCCCTCTCCTTTCTCCACTCTCTCGCTCTTTTCTCTCCCTCTCCGTTCTCTCTCCTCTCTCTTCTCTTTCCTTTCTCTGTTTCTCGTCTTTCTCTCGCCTATCTCTTCTCTCTCCCTCTCCTTTCTCCTTTCCCCTCCCTCTCTCCTCTCTGTCTCTTTCTCTCTTCTTTCTCTCTCCTCTCTCATTCTCTCTGCTCTCTCTTTCTTTCCTCTCTCTCTTTCTCCTCTTCTCCCTCTCTCATCTCTCCCTTCCTATCTCTCTCATCTCATCTCTGCCCCTGGTTTTCTTTTCTTCCTCCTCCCCCTTTCTGGACTTCTGCACCCCCCCCAGGTGCTCAGCGCCTCCCCCTCTAGAACCCCCTCTGGCTCTCGCCTGCTCTCTCTACCTGCACGGGCGCACCCCCACCTCTCCCTCCTCCAGGCTGCCCTGTATGACCTTGATCGCTGGAGGCCTCTTTGCACACAAGCTTTGCACCTGCCACACGGGGTCTGGAGCTGAGAGACCGGAGGGCCCTTGAACACGAGTGTCCTGCTGGGCTCAGACCCCAGCCCCCTCACCCACCAGGCCTGTGTGGGTCCCCAGGAAGATTTCAGGAGTGTGGGCACCTGTTGGTTCTCTGTCCTTGGAGCTGCCCGTGGGCTGCAGCATGTCCCTTTGCCCGCCCGCCCCCCGCCCCACCCCGTCCCGTCTTCTGTGGGGCCACATTTTCCCAAACCTTCCACCACCCACGGTCCCCTGAATCCGCCCTGCCCAGCAGCTCAGGCCAGGGAGGCCGCAGGAGCAAGGGCCACTCACCCTGCTTGCTTCTGGCCTGGAACTTCGCAGATTAGTTGTACCTTCTGTTCTCAACACCCAGAGCTGTTCTCACAAAGACCCCACCAGTGGGCGGCGGCTGCTCCTGCCTCTCAGAGCTCCCCGGGATGGGGAGTCGGGTCTGTCTAAAAGCAACTGCTTCGGAGGGCCAGAGAGATAGCACAGTGGGTAGGGCACTGGCCTTGCACCTGGCCAACCGGGGTTCAATCCCCAGCATCCCATGTGGTCCTCCGAGCACCGCCAGGAGTGCAGAGTCGGGAGTCAGCCCTGAGCACCGACGGGTGTGGCCCCCCCAAAAAAACAAAAAAATAATTAAAAGCTGATGTGCTCAGTACCGAGAGTCAGTGTCCAGGGGGGGCTCTGCTGTGTGAGCTCAGGTCACGGGCCACAGGGACGCAGCTGGCCTGGAGCCCACCTCCAAATCTGACTGGGGGGGGCGACCCTTGAGGTCACTTCTTGGCTCCACGACAGCGGGAGTCTCGGTAAGGAAAGGGGCCGTGTCGTAGTGAGTCTCAGCCTCCTGCTGGTAATGGGCCAGAACATTCTTCATCAGGCTTCCTATATGTCAGGAATGACACCCACACCCCCAAGGTGCTTGTGGTGCTCCCTCTTTCCATGGTCCTGGTCCTCAGAAACCCCCAGGGACAGGAAAGACGCCAGCTAAGCCAGTGATAGAACGTGCCTGACAGCCTGACCTGGGTCACTGGTACATAGTAGGTGTTCAACTAATAGTAGTTTCTTTCAACCCACAGACAAGGAGGAAGAATAGCTTCAGGTACAGAAATCCTCTCTCTCTCTCTCTCTCTCTCTCTCTCTCTCTCTCTCTCTCTCTCTCTCTGCATGCTCATATATACCATGCTTTGCCCCCAAATTGGTTTTGCTGTTTGTAGCCCATCTCATCAATATCTGGGGTCCCCAAGTCGACCTCCATCTCTGTTGCAGTGAGGGGGTGCAGCTTCCCGTGAGCAACAGGAGCGATCTGGACGCCCCCCAGGGGCTCAGTCACCGCATCCCATACAACTGTGCTGGTGATTCCACACTAGCGTTGGGTGATGCTCAGGAGACAGGAAGTGTCCAGAGGTCCTTCCTCCACTCCCAGGCTGGGTGCTGAATCCATGCCACTCTGGTTAGTTGCCCAGAGGGTAGAAATGGTCCCCCGGTGGGACCCCACAGAGGCTACCGTTTGCTTCCTGAGGTCAAGAAGGCCTGATCCTAGACTTCGGTCCAGGACTTGGGTGATGCCACCCACCACCAAGGTCCCTTCAGCCCTGCTGTTCTCCGCCAAGTGACTCTTGGTCCAAGAGGAAGGACCTCACGGTCGCAAAATGGCTGCTGCTGCCCCAGCAACATCGCCTGCCAATACAACTCCCAAAGCAGGAGAGAAAATAGCAAAAAGCTGCCTCTTCTCAACCTCAAGTGCTTTTGTTTAATCTGGCTTGTGTTTTGGTGTCCTTTAAGGGAGGCCACACCTAAAATGGCTCTGAGCTCAGGGATCAGTCCTATCAGGGCTTGGGGGGGGGGGGGGGTCATGATCCGTGTCGGGGACCCATCTAGAGCCTGCAGTCTGCATGGCAAGCGGCCTGCCTGCTGTGTTATCTCTCCAGCCCTCGGGGGGGGGGGGGGGGGTCAGTTTTGCTTTTCATTTTGGTCTCTGAAGACAGCATTAACCTGGACTTGTGGCACTCGGAGTCCCGGCTCCAACATTGAGCCTGCCCCCCACCCCTCTGGGCCTCTCCCCCAAAAGCCCCACCCCAAGGCTCTCAGCCCACCCGCCCCCCCTCCCCCTCCCATTGTCCGGTGCTAAGACCACCACTACAGCCCAGACACAGCCGTTGTCATCTGGGATGCACCGGGGTTCTCTCAACCAGAGGGACAGACAAGGCTGCCAGCATCACCTCCTGCCTGGCGTGGGGTCACCATGCAGGCCCCAAAAAGAGGTGACCCAGTTCCAGCAGGGACTGCCATAAGGAATGAGGGGGAAAATGGGCTTCACTTAGCCAGTACTTCCTCGGGTCTTACTGGCACAGGTTAGGCAGGCTGGGCGGGAATCACCATTAACGCTCCCACACTGCCAGGTAACTTCCAGCCAGAGCTGGGGGGGGACAGTCGCCAAACTCACAACCAGCAAATAAAGGGCAGCCTGTATGCTTGTCCACACTCGGTTGGCACCTCCGGGTCTCTGCCTCCAGCCAAGGCTTCTCCCTGGTCCCCTGCCCCAGACTGGGAGAGCAGAACTGAGGGGCTCAGTGGGGACCCCGACAGGTGTGGACGAGCTGCTGTAATGAACCAACTGACCGAAGCGATCACGCTGGTCTCTTCCTGACCCTCAGAGAGCCTGGATCCCCCCGACCCTGGCCCAGATCCTGCTAGTGGACAGCACTCAGGTTCCCCAAAAATCTCCAGGCAGGGGAAAGTAAGAGAAAGCTGGGCAACATTCACCAAGGAGGGGAAGACAGGGGCGGGCAGGGGGTCAACTTTCAGTTTAGGAAGGGGAAAAATGATAACGCTAGAGAAATGTCCTTTATCTTCAAGAGAACAAGCTAGAAGCAGCTTATTAATCACATGGGCACCTTCTGTGGAAGGGGCAGGGAGCCAGAAGTACCAGGAACTAAGCACCACCCCGAAGGACAGTGTCAGGCTCTGCCCCCCCACCATGTCCTGGGCCAAGGGTGGGAAACACCACTTGGTTGGGGTCTGCGTGAGTCCCCGGCAGCAAGACAGAAGTGAGCACTGAGGGGAATGCAGGACAGAGAGTCCCTTATTCCCGATCCAGAACCCCCCACACGCTGACCGCCCAGCACCGGCCCAGCCCAGCTCCCCCTGGGCCCCTGGTTCTGGTTAAAGAAAAATGAAGGAAAAATAAGAGTGCGGTTTTTTTTTTTTCCATCCCAAGTTGACAGAGCCAGGTAAGAAGTGAATTAATGGCAGTCATTTCCCAAACACGTGGAGATTCTCAGCGCGTCAGGCCAGGGACTCCCCCCACCAACCCCCGCCCCATTCCCAGCACCAGAACCAGTTTCTGGGAAGTGGACCTAGGCCTCTCCAGCCTGCCACTGGACACACAGCTGGAGCCCCAAGTCCCCTCCAAGTTCATTTCTTCAGACCAAAATCCCGTTCTCTAATGAAGAGTCTTTGTCCAGCAGCCGCCCTGACTCCCGGAGTCACAATATCTCCAAAGGGCGACCCACTGTTTGGGGCTGAGCTCACCCTGGTTCAGGGTCCAAATCTAACAGAGAAAAAAAAATTTAAAGAAAGAAAAAAAAAAACAAGGTAAGCAAAGAGATCGTGCAGCAGGGAGGGTGTTTGCCTTGCACCTGGCTGAGCCAGGTTTGACCCCCAGTATCCATCCCCTATGAGCACCACCAGGAGTGATTCCTGAGTGCAGAGACAGGAGTAACCCCTGAGCATCCACCACCGGGTGTGACCCAACTCCCCGCCACCCACCCAAAAAAAAAAAAAAAAAACTAACAGAGCAAATAGCACAACGGGTAGGGCGTCTGCCTTGCATGTGGCCAACCCGGGTTCGATTCCTCCGCCCCTCTCGGAGATCCCGGCAAGCTATCAGGAGTATCTTGCCCACACGGCAAAGCCTGGCAAGCTCCCCGTGACGTATTCGATATGCCAAAAGCAGTAACAACAAGTCTCACAATTTGTTGTGAGACGTT